GGGCTGTGCTCAGAGGGCGCTGGGATTCTGTGAGCACTCACCCCATGATCACTCCTCCTCCCCTGCATGCAGCTGAGGACCCCAGTGCATTCCTGTGCTCCCTCCTGCAAGCCCTGTCCCCCGGGCTAAGCCATGAATCCATTTCGTCTGTTTCTGGAGTTTCTTATTCCTACTCATCCTTCAAGAGAGGAGGCACAAGGAGTGGTTTCTGCAGATTTGGGGCTAAAGTGTGTTTTGGGAAGAGGGGAGCCGTCTCCCTGAGGTGTCCACACTGGGGTTCAGCACCATGGGCAGAGACCTGAGGTTGCATCCACACCTCACTGGCTGTCTGGGTGGCACTGATGGAGCCCCTTTCCCCACTGTCCTGAGAGCTCCTCTCACTTGCTCAGCTCATCCCTCCCCCTCTCCCTCCACAACCTCCTCCTCTCCCACATGCCGCAGTGGCTGTATCTTCTGACATTACCCTCTGCTGAGCCATGTTCCCCACTGACACTGGCAGGAAGTTCGGGGCAGGACTGCCCTCACCCTGACATAGGGATGCGTTTGATCCTGGACTCCACCCCTCTGGCAGCTCAGAATCTCATGCCTCTTGGCAGTGCCCACCAGGAACATACCCGCAAGAGAGCGAGTTGGGTTTCTTGCCTGCTGTCCCGAGAGATGCCTGCCCCCATGGGGACAGAGGGGCAGTGCAGGAGGGGAAGGGGATGACATAGAAAAGGAGCTGGGGGAGGGTGTTGTGCTTCAGTAGGTTAAGCCACAGCTAGGGACAGCGGCATCCCACATGGAAGTGCTAGTTCAAGTCCCTGCTACTGTTTCTAATCCAGCTCCCTGCTACTGCCTGCTACTCTGTTTCTAATCTAGCTCCCTGCTACTGCGCCTGGGAGGCAGCAGATGAGGGCTCAAGTGCTTGGGCCCCTGCCACCCATGTGGGAGACCCTGATGGAATTCTTGGCTCTGGCTCCTAGGTTTGGCCTGGCCCAGCCCTGGCTGTTGTGGGCATTTGGACAGTGAACCAGAGAATGGAAGATCTCTCTCTCTCTCTCTCTCTCTCTCTGTCTTTCTCTCTCTGTCACTCTGCCTTTGAAATCATTTTCAAAACAGGAAGAAGAAAGGACATGGGAGACGTGGGTTTGTGTGTGGGGATCTTGGGAAGGGCTTTGGTAGGCAGGAGCTTGCTTGGGGATGGGCTAAGTCTAGGACTGGCCGTCTTAACAGGTCTTCTCTACCGGGAGAGCAGATGTTGAGCAGAGCCACTGCTGACACTGGGAAAGGAGCTGCCGTCACTCGTGTCACCCGGGCCCCAGTGTCCTGTGTGCTGGACCCTATTCACGTTCAGCCGTGGACACCGAGAGGATGAGTTTTTGTCTTGTTCCACTGTGGCCGCAGAGTGGCCTTGTCTGCTGGTGACTTTCTGCAGGAGCGTGCGGAAACCCAGTTGAGTGCCAGACCAGCCCCCAGGGCTGAATACACAGTGGCAAAAACCCCAAGTGTTTTGGTTGTTTCCTGTTCTCACTCAAGCACCCATGCCTGTGGATGCACGTTGGGGGGGTGGGGTGGGGGCGGGGGCGTGCTCCTTTTGTGGATGCACTGCCTGCGTGTCCTCCTCCCACCCTGTCTACCTGGAGACTGAAGCAGACCCCTTGGAATCAGGGCTCTGCCCCACAAGGCTGCCTCCCACCTCGATGCCCACTGCAAGCTCCTGGTGGTTTTACCTGCACTTCTGACCCGCGGGCTGTGAAGCAGAGGGCCTTGGGTTTGATTAATGTGCTAGAACAGCTCACAAACTTGGGGAACTGTTGACTTAGATTTCCCAGTTTCTGAGAAAGGACATTTTAAAGGACACAGCGGAAGCCAGATGAAGAGATCCAGAGGAGGTCTGGAAGGGGCCTGGGCGTGGGAGTTTCTGTCTCTGTGGAGCTGCTTGCACCTGTCCTCTGGCCAGGAGATCTGTCCTCACTCACCTTGCCGGGAGCCCCTTGGACCCAATCCTTTTGGGTTTCTCTGGAAGCTCCAGGATGTGGGTCCCTAGATTAAACCATTGGCCACTGGCAACCCTCCAGCCCCTCCCCCACTGCATTCCAGCCCTAGGAGCACCTGGGCGGTTCCCCTGGCAACCAGTCCCCCCCTATCCTGGGGCAAACCCGGGACTTTACAGAAAAATCACCTAATTAACATAAATTCTGAAGGCTGATGGGGCTGCTTGTAAATCACAAAAGACTGCCTTTCACCTGTTAGGGCTCTGGCGTTGTCACTGCTGCGCGGGGAGCCCAGGACCTCAGGCCTGATATTTTAACAAAGGACCGTCCTGTGGAGCTACTCACTCAGGAAATCACTGGGTTATAGGAGCTGGGAGTGCAAACCTGGGAGGAAAACCCAGGCTCCTCTTCTCTTGCTCCTCTCCTCCCCGACCTGCCTGTGCCAGCTCAGGTGGGAGGTGGTCCCCAGCACCTCCAAGATGCCCATTCATCACTTGTCTCTCCCTGCCTCCTTGCCCTGGCCAGACAGACACCCTCCAGCTCCCTCCCTTCCCCCCACACCATCACCTCCTGCAGTCTCTTCATGTGGGCCTCCTTCCCACAGTCCTAGGACCGTGAATGTGTGCAAGACACCTGCAAATCATTTTTTCAAAAGGATTTATCTATTTGAAAGGCTGAATTACAGAGAGAAAGGGAGAGGCAGAGAGATCTTCCACCCGCTGGTTCACTCCCCAGATGGCTACAACAGCCAGAGCTGGGCCAGGCCAAAGCCAGGAGCCAGGAGCTTCTTCCAGGTCTCCCACATGGGGGTGCAGGGGTCCAAGGACTTGAGCCACCCTCTGCTGCTTTCCCAGGCACGTTAGCAGGGAGCTGGAATGGAAGTGGAGCAGCTGGGACTCGAACCTACACCCAAATGGGATGCCTGCACTGCAGACAGCAGCTTCACCTGCTATGCATACTTTCACTCTGAACCAGGCTAACGCTCTGATGAGCGAGCAGGTCAGGCAGCATTCATCTCTCTGTCCTCCTTGAGAGCCAGATATCCTAAATAGGAGGAGGAGGATTTCATGGCAGTCTCAGATAACGTGCCTCTCCCTCTGGACATGGATTTTTCTGCCTTTTCTTCCTAACAGCTTTTCCAAATGGAAATGCGATCCCAGCGACATAGATGCTATTGATAGTATATCAGCGAGGCCCAGGCATTCGCCTGCCTGCCCAGTGGAGTGTGCCTGCCGGGGGCACAGCCGCGTATCGCCTCTCAGGCAGACGTGAGAGAAGCCCTGCCCATGCATATGTATGTGTGTGGCCCGGGGAAGTTAATCACACCGTACATCACGCACGCATGGAGTGCGGAATGCACTTCAGCACGACAGCGGGCTCCTGCGAAATGCATGTCGGCCAGGGACAGACTTGCATCCTTTCAGGACAATTTGTGTGTGTGTCTGGACGTGTCGGTATGCCTGTTTTTGAGGGGGGGAAAGGAAAGGGGTTCAGTATCTGCCCTCTTTCTGGCCCACCTATTCCCCTTCAGCCACCTGGATAACAAAAGAGCCCCGTAGGAGAAATGAGAAGTGGCGATTACACATTGGTGTTCCCGTTCTGGGAGCCAGGCAGCCATCCTCTGGGAGAACTCACAGTGAATACCCAGCATTAATCGCCACAGTAACTTATGCGTCTGACCTTGCCGAGACGTAGTAACACAGCTTTGCGTCCTAGCATCATTTGCCGCTCAAAGATCAGAAAACAATGATCATGAAATTACATTGCTGTGTAGAACGGCCAGTACTTTTAGATTTCTTGAGAAAATCTTGGAGGACCTAAGTGACCAAGAAAGTGAGGGGTCGGTACACCAGGAGTTGAATGTGGTCATGGATTTGGTGAGCAGTTAAGGCGAGATCAGTGCCTTCCCACTCTTAGGAAAGGTGAACAAAACCCGTATTCATCCCTGATTGCCCTACTGGATCAGGTACCTGTTCCCCTGTGGGAGACCCTCAGCCTTTCTCCTTAATGTCTGTACCTAATTAGAGGTGCGATTTGCTGTCAGTAGCAGCAGGAACGTGTGAAGAGAGGTGAAACCTGCTTGCTGTCACCTCCTCCTGCTCACATCACCAGAAATGCAGTGTCCTTAGGTGCATCCTGGGTTCTCCCCCACCGGGGTGGGAGGGGCTACCTTCTGCTTCCTGGGTGCTGCACTGGGGAGAATCACACCCGGAACCCCCTGCGAGAGAGAGTTCCTCACTCACGGTCGGCCGGGTCAGCAGGGAGCATCCTCTGTGACAGGGCCACGTCAGCACAGCACGCTGGTCCCAGCCGGGAAGCTGTGTGTGCAGAAATGAGTGATGGTTCAGCCTTCTCTCCTTTTTACAAAGGGGCTGGGGTGGAGACAGGCAGAGAGCCCTCACCCCGGACGCCTCTATGAGATTTTGACAGGGGATCACTTTCTGCTTGCCTTCTTTCTAGCAGCGCAAGTGAGTGACCACCCTGCTTGATGGAAGGGGTAGTTTTCTGCCTCCCTCTTAAAGTCAGGCTGGGTAGCCACTGAGTGTGCTGTGCACCTGCTGTAGCCGTGGAATACGGTTTCTCGTGAAAGCAACAAGGACTCCCGTATTTCAATAGTGGAAGGTTTAAAAGTGCTTTCCCCATTCCGGTAGTGTTTCCTGAACGTCAGCCAGGTGAAAGAAGGCAGCACGATGCATTCTCTCATTGCAGTGGTTCAGATAGTTTTAAACACCAACTCTTATAATGCCACCCCTCCCCCCACCCCGCCCTGTATTTTCTATTTGCTGTATTTCTGACCCTCTGTGCTTTGGGTCCGGCTGCTGCACCGTGGACTCTTAACCGGGCTCCGCGTTTATTCTGAACCTCTAAAGAAGGGGTGCGGGGTCGGGGAAACAGCTCCAGGGAACGCCGCGCTGCAGCTTCAGCGAGCTCCTGGGGGTCGGCTTTGGGGGTTTCCTCCCCTCCCCCTTTCCCCCCCGTTCTTAATCTCCTCTCCCTCTCTCCTTCCCCCATCCACCATCAAAGCAAGACGAGGAGGTGACTACGGTGCAGGTGCGAGAGCAGGAGCGGGACGTCCTGGTGCTGAGGAGAGTGAGGGGCGGCGGCCCAGCCCCCGCGGCCGACGGCGATTGGAGGTGAGCTTTGCCCGCGCCCCCCGGCCCCAGCCCGCGCCGCCTCGTCTGCCCGCCTCCCTGGCTCTCCTCCCCGCCTCCCCGGCGCTCTGGCTGACTGCAGGGCTCCCCGCAGCCAGACGCGCGCCGTTCGCCGCGAGAGCACGGGCGCGCGGCGCGCGGGCTGCGAGCGCTTAGGGGATGCCTTTGTTAGCGCCCGTGCGCCATGGGCAGCTCCCGGCTGAGGGTGTGTGACCCGCGGCTGCCGCGCAAGGAGGAGCGCGCGCCGCCCCTGCCCACCTTCGATGTGCCTTACTTCAAATACATCGACGAGGAGGATGACGACGACGGGTGGAGCAGCCGCTCGCAGTCCTCCGCCGAGGAGGACTCAGTGGACTCCCTGCTCTCCGACAGATACGTGGTGGTGTCCGGGACCCCGGAGAAGATTCTGGAGCACCTTCTGAACGACCTGCACCTGGAAGAGGTCCAGGACAAAGAAACAGGTAAGGCCATGGCGCGGTGACACCCCCCACCAAGGGGGGCGAGGCTGGCGAGGGGGACCCGGCACACTCCTCCTGCCTCCCGTCCCCATCCGGTCCACGGACGCGTGTCCAGCCCCAGCCGGCTACCGGAGAAGTATGTACCAAAAAAACGCCTGCCAGGCAGATGTTCCTGCTTCTCCCGTGGTGGTGTTTCCCCCAATGTCACCTACAGGCAGCTGGCAGGCGGCCAGCGTTCCATCGCCGGTGCGCACGGGAAAGAAATGCCAGGGACTTGGGGCCCGGGGCGTCCACCTGGTTGGAGGGAGTGTGGGGCTGGGGGCCCGCGCGTCTCCTGGTCCAGACGTCAACAATGAAGGCAGCTGCAGGCTGAACCTCAACTTCTGCCGTTCTCTAAGTGCTCTGCAGGCTGGCTGCTCAGAGCCAGGGTGAGGGTCGCAGCTCTGCAGACCACGCACTGATTCACTGAGGCCTTAAGTGATCAGCTTTCCTGTCCTTTCTGCTTAACCCCAGCGCAAAATACCCTTTCAGCTTGCCCACCCATGCCCTTCTAGGAAGCGTTGCCGTTCTGTTGACGAAACGACTTAGCCATAGCACAGAAGGGAGGCTCCTAGAGTCTCTTAACCAGAATCTGTAATTGGCTGCAGCCTGGAGCGATTATTTCAGTGAATAGGCCTGGACTGGGAGCATGGCGTTTGCAGCTCAATGAAATGCGCTTTTTTGCAGCTGTGCTGGCCCCTCTGATGACCTGCGCTGTGCAGGGTGTTGCTTGCATCAAGAAAAGGCAGTGGTGGATTGCACTGGTGCAGAGCCCTCGGGCTGTTGGCAGGGCGGGAGGGTTAGTGAAAGCACAGGGCAGGTTGGAGCGAGAGTTTCCCGCGGCCTGGTAGTTCTGTCCCGAACCTCAGAGGAAGGCCAGTGAGAGAAACACAGCAAGGTGTGCCTATGGGAGTGGGCTAAAAACAGGAGCAGAATGACCCAGGGGTGTTCCCTAAGGTCATGTTATTGTCTGATCTCAGAATCCAAGCAAATCCAAGGGAACTTTGGCAAGTTCCTGGAGAAATGGCACTAAGAAGATAAATTGCTTTTGGCACAGAAAATGTTGACCTCCGTGTGTGGTTTTTTTCCCCATGATATGCGTCTCCCATGAACTTTTTGAAATACCTGCATGCTTTATTTTTCATATTTTTTTTTTTTTGGTTTGGAAGGGGAGGAAAATCATTGTCATTTTTACGAAAAGCTACAAGACAAATGGATTCTCGAGGTATAGGCTGTTTTTGTGTCTGTATGTTCCATGCCCTTGCGGCCAGTTCACATGTTCTGCTTCATCAGGTGCAATCATGGAACTGCATGTGATTTCCAGGTCCCCTGGCCAGGCTGCCTTTACACAGGCCTTTGCTAGAATACCGGCAAGCTCTTTGTCATGGAGAGCCACCTGACATGTGGCTTTCTCCTTGTTGATGACCCTCAGCTTCTCTCTAATACACGACTTTGAATGTAGGTCATACTAAGAAGCAAAGCAATGATTAAAGCCTTAACAAGACCTAGCTGGATCCGCCCCGCCCCCCAACTCTGTTTTTCTAACTGACATTAGTTTGTGTTCCCTTTACTTTTGCGAAAAAATGGCCCCAGTGCTCATTATCAAGTTCCCTCTACTTCCTGCTGGGACTGACAAATCTCCCCAGTACTGTCACTAACGCCACCGGATAGGATAGCGGCTAAGCACGGGCTACTGAGTGTCATGCCTGCTGTCTTCCCGATGATGGCAGCCCCAGGGTCAGCCGCAGAGCAGAAAAAGGACCAGGGCTCAGGGACTTGACCTGAGGGCATCAGCCTGGGTCAGGGCAGGAGGGGTCAGCCCCACCTGATTCCACGAGCTAGCTCATTTCCTTGAAGTGTGTGGGGACGACCACGCATGAAACCTCAGAGTTTTGCAGAGACATTTGAAAGCAGAGACATAGAACCAACTTTTCCTTCCGTCAAAGAAGAATTTTTTGAAATAGGAAAAGTCAAAAGCTTTAGAGACAGTATTATAATAGGGACGCCCAAGTGGAAGTCCCAGGTACTTTGTCAACACTTCAAGCACTGCGCTTGGAGAAAATACAGCAGAAAAGCCACCAGGTGGTTTTGACGATAAAAAGAAATCTACTAAATATAAAGTCCATTTTGTGTTCAAGTTCAAGAGAAAGGGGTTTGAACACTGGACGAATGAGATGTTTAGATCATTGAGCCTCTCTTCCCTGACACAGGTGACTTCTCGGTCTCTGTCTCGATCCGGCTGGCAGAGCCCGGGTGCACGAGAGCCTGATAGAGTTGCACAAACCATATGGAAGACAGATGGAGGGAAATGAGAAGGGGCCGCAATAAAAGTCAGCAGCGGCGGTTTTATGTTCTTGAGCTCCCCTTTGAGGGAGATGGCGCCAGATGGGGCCGGGTCGAGCCATATGGTGGACCTCCATGATGCCCCGGGGGCAAGGAGGAGACGGGGTACAAGGGAGGAGAGCCGAGCCGTGGCCCCAGCAGCTGGGGTGAGCCTGTTCTGCATCCTCACCTTCCTGTGCTCCCGTGCCCCAGGGACGCTGGGAAGGTGACCAGGAGAGAGATGTGAGGAATTGCCCATCCCTGTCCCACAGAGGTCACTTAGTTGTGAAAACATAGATGCAGGGCCCAACAGAGGCCTTCTTGTTTGATTTTTAATACATTCATTTGTTCTCCTTTTATTTGAAAGGCGGAGACAGAACTCTTGTTGCTTCCCTCCCCCAAGTGCCCACGACAGCTGGGAATGAGTCCAGGCCAAAGCCAGGAACTAGGAACTCCATCCAGGTCTCCCGTAGGGATGGCGGGGGCCCTGCTGGGGTGCACTTCAGCAGGAAGCTGGAATCAGAAGCGGAGATGGGACTCAAACTCGGCCACTCCACCATGGGCCGTGGGGGTCCCAAGCAGCACCTTAGCTGCTGCACCAACCCGCACCCCAGCACACAGGACAGGCTGGTGGGGTTGCTAATGGATGTTCACATAGCAGTGGGAAAAGGTCACTGTACTGAGTGGCCAAGGAGAGAATGCCAGGGCATTTCTGTTGCTCCTCAAATCCAGAGTGCAAGAGAGGGCCAGGCATTGGGCATGGGGGCTGAGATGCTACTTGGGATGTCCCACCCTGTATAGGAGTGTTCGAATTTGAATTCCACCTCTGCCCCTGATTCCAGCTTCCCGCTAGTGCAGCAGGTGATGGCTCAAGTTCTTGGGTCCCTGCTACCCACATGGAGACATCCAGATTGAGCTCCTGGCTCCTGACTTCAGCCTGGCCCAGTCCTGGCTGTTGTGGGCATTTGGCAAGTGGACAAGCAGATGAGAAATCTGTCTCATCTGCCTTTCAAATAAAGATAAATACATATTAGAGTAGAGTAACAAACAACCAAACAGTTCATACAGTGTCCTGTTACCAAATCAAGCTGAGTTTTGGATGCAAAGATGAGTTAAAGATGTTTGCATGCAACCAGTAATGTTTACCTAAATCATTTTCATACATGCACACTTACCATTACTTATTTTCTTTTTTTTTTAAGTTTTATTTTATTTATTTGAAAGAATTACAGAGAGAGGTAGAGACAGAGAGAGGTCCTCCACCCGCTGGTTCACTCCCCAGATGGCTGCAATGGTTGTAGCTGCGCCAATCTGAAGCCAGGAGCCAGGAGCTTCCTCTAGGTCTCCCATGTGGGTGCGGGGGCCCAATGACTTGGGCCATCTTCTACTGCTCTCCCAGGCCATAGCAGAGAGCTGGATCGAAGTGGAGCAGTCGGGACTAGAACCAGCACCAATATGGGATGCCAGCGCTTCAGGCCAGGGCATTAACCAGCTGCGCCACAGCACTGGCCCCACCATTACTTATTTTCATAATCCTCAGTGTTCATATTTTTTCTCCCTGGTAGTACTAGGCACAAGGAATTGTCCAATGACATCTGTGGCATTGAATAAATGAATTTTTTTAACTCTTAAAAAGCATACAAATGGGAAATACTGATAGAGAACAAGTGCACCAACCAGGCGTTACGGTCCAGCTTTGAAATCCTCATTACTTTATAACCACCCCCATCTGTTTACCACATTAGCCAGAGCACTCCCCCAAAAGAGCAAGCGGTGATGAAATGTGTGGTCCCATAAGTTTTTCAGCATCTCTTCCTTTGCACCGCTCTTCATTGTCGGAGGAGGGAGAACTGGAGTCTGGTCGCTGGGTGCTTATTCGTGAACCTGGAAAGTGATGGAGACTGTACTGGAAGATTTCCCTTCTGAGGCTCAGGTTCTGACTTGAAAGCTCCTGCAATGTTCGAGAAAAACCTAGCCATTTCGGCAGCTCCCCCTTTCATGGTCCCAGAAATAGGGCAGACACCGCTGGTCATTCAGGAGAGTGACAAAAAAACCACAAGGAAGCAGCCGAGAGTTGTGAGTGGAGGGGCCAGGGGCGCAGCCAGCCCTGCGCTGTGCTGTGAGCTGCAGTGTGTGCTGCTCTGGTTAACTCCCCCCTTCCCCAGAGAGAAATCAAAGTGGGTTTTGCTCGCAGATACTTCTGCTGGGAATCATGATTTCTGTTTCAAAGCCAGGGGGTGACTGTGTAGCAGATGGATTTTTATAGAGACAAATCTTGCTGATTTTTTCCTTCGCATCTGTGATATGACAGGCCCACCATAGGGAAAACAAAAGAGGAAATGCATTATTTTCCATTTCCTTATTCTTTGTTCATCATTTGGAAAAAAAATGCCCTTAGGATTACAGATTTCCAGGAAAAACAAGCTGGAGAGAATAGGATTGTAGGAATAGGTTACACCTCCCAGACGATTCTCATTAGACCTGACCTGATTTCTTGAAGGTATGGCTGCCTTTTTTTTTTTTTTTTTTTTTATTCTATGAGGTTATCTATCATTCAGGGTAGTCTGTTACCACCTCCCAGCGTTGGTGCTTTGCGCCCAGCATCTCGTAGCAGGTGCAGCGTGTGATTGAGGTCGTGAGTC